AGTACTCACCCGGACAAAGGCTGTAGACCACAGGAGCTCGGACGAGCGGAAGACCTTGAACGCAAACTGAAAAAACCTGGACGCGAACTGGATGCGAGTTGAAACTCGGACGCGAGCTCAAGAGAAATACAGAAGTGACAACAACTGGGGTCCCCCCCGCTATTTATACTCACAATGACCGAAAGGTGACGGCTTAGATCAAAGCCAATCCGACAGCCTACAGCCGCACTGATCGCACGTCCCCCGAGACCGAGATGTGATTGGTGCACGTCTTTCTAAAACTGACAGAGCGTTGGCACACATCTTTTCGAAACTGACGGAACGCCAGCACACGTCTCCTCAGTAAAAGCGGCAGCGGCACGTCTTTTTCAAATTTGAAAAGACGCCCGCTATCGCGCCCCCCAAGTGGCGCACTTTTTTGAAATTTCAAAATAAAGCGCGTGCCGCCACATCTATCAGCGTTTAGGCAGGCTGGCGCGCTCCCCGCCTAATGGACGCTCGAAGAAACCCAAGGAACCCTGACAACACACCTTGCGCCGTCAAAACCAAGATTCAAAGTGCAAGGCAAATCTACCTGACACCTTGCGAACTCCCCGCGCCAGGGCAAGACCCTTAGCACAAGGAGTGGGGGCAATTGATGAAGGAAGATTTGGCCCGACCTCGCAAATCACACCACGTGGCAAAAAACAAGTAGCTCGGCACTTAAAGCAGCATACCTAGGGTACAAACACCAAAGGGAAGAGACCAGCGGTCCGAACTCCCCTCGAGGAGACCGAACTCCCCTCGAGGAGACCAACTCCCTAAGAGGAGCCCGAACTCCCTACAAGGGGCCCGAACTCCCTAAAAGGAGCCCGACCTCCCTACTAAGAGCTCGAACTCCCTACGAGGTGCCCGAACTCCGGCCGGATTACGCATCATCAAGTCGAGTGGCCCATTAAGGTCAGGGTGGGGTTGGATCAACAGTTACCCAGTGATCCTTTGTTTAAACTTGTTTGAAAATTTCTTTCTTCTTCTCTATTTACCATTTAGAGCTTTCTTATCCTCTGTTTTAGGGCTTGCTCAAATCGCTAAAGCAAGCTTCACAACCATTGATGACCATTCTTGCCACTGCCATCCTTACTAGTTAGGGCTTGTTCAAGTTATAGTTTCTTGCTGTCACCATTCTTGCCATCCCAGCAATAACACCCTAATTAGCGTAAATGAGAGTGCAAAAATGTAGAGTGCAAGACCTTGTATTTTGTATTAATTTGGAAGAAATATAAATACAAATATATAGAGTGCAAGACCTTGTATTTTGTATTAATTTAGAAAAAATACAAATATAAATATATAGAGTGCAAAACCTTGTATTTCGTATTAATTTAGAAGAAATACAAATACAAATATATATAGTGCAAAACCTTATATTGTATATTAGACTCAGTTTGGAAGGAGTATAAATACAAATTTGTTGAGTGCAAAACTATGTATTTTATATTATTTTGTATGGATTTGTACGGTACATATTTGCATTTATACTCCTTCCAAACTGAGCCTTAATTTCGAAGAAATATAAATACAAATATATAGAGTGCACAACCTTGTATTTTGTACTAATTTACATGAATTTGTGCTATACACATTTGTATTTATATTCTTTCCCAACTGAGCCTTGGAACAATTATTTGGAATCCTGTCTCAAAGCTTTACATTGGCGTTTCTCCTCGACAAGCTTTGAAGCAACAACACTGGTGCAATCTTCTTTCAACAGCCTCGACGATGGTTTATAAAACCATCGACGATCGTTCCTCCTCCCTAGGAGAGTTTGGATAAAGTCCCAACCATGGTTTTTAAAACCGACCTAGAGATCGAATCGATCAGGGGTTCAGTTATTGGGTCGAACGGTCCGACCGTTCTAACAAAAAATTTAAAAAAAATTAAAAAGTAAATTAAAAAATAAAAAACAGCCAAAATCATTCGAATGGTTCAAACGATTAACTTTCCGGATCAACGGTTTACTGATAAAAATCAACGGGTTTTGAAAAAAATCTGATTTTGGGGAAAACCGAAACCTATCACCTGACCGGTTCCCGATTTTTCCGGTCCAACCATCCAGTCCGATCCAGTTTTGAAAACCATGATCCCAACATAAGATCCCAACGGCCATTGTAGTTGAGCATTAATTAAGAATATCTTGTTGGAACTAGATCCGAACTCACCAAAGGTGGTTTCTCCATCTTATTTTCCCATGTTCTTATTTTGGTAGATTAAGTAGAGGAGAAACAGGGGCAAGCAGTCAAAGTAGATGATGCGGGGAAGTCAGGTGAGACCATCTGATTCGGAGGCATTGCCACTGCCAATAATTTTTTTGAGATTTTTATAATTTGCTGTATATTTTGTGACTATTGCGTTTTAGTTATTTTGATAAATATTTTTTAGTTGAAATTTATAATGACGAGTAGATGATTATTATTTTATCATTTTCTGCAATTTTTATTTTATAGCAGAAATATATAATTTGTAATTCTTTTCAGAAATATATTTTTGGAAAAATATCATTTTATGTGTTTTATGAATTTTTTTTTTCTTCTGAAATATATAATTTTTTGCAGATTTTTATTATAAGTTTCTGTATTTTCCATGATTGTTGTTTTTTAGTTGAAATATATAATTTTTGGACTATTTATTATTTTGAAATATATGATTTTTTGGATGAAAATGTATTTTTGTTTTTTATCATTTTGTATATTTTCAACCATTTCTATAAATTTTTGCATTTTCTGCATTTTTTACTTTCCTTGCAAAATTTCTGTATTTTTTTAATTTTCTTGCATTTTTATATTTTTAATGCAATTTTCTGTGTTTTCTTTAATTCTTTATGTTTTTTACAATTTATGTTTAAATGAAATGTATATGTTTGTTTATTTTTTATTATTTTCTATTTTTTTTGCAATTTCTATTATCTTACATAAAAAAGTTTAAAAAAAAATCCAATGTGGGCTAGGGGGAGGTTAAGGTTAGGGTGGATTATGACTCACTAACATCAATAAATATGGGCTAGGAATGGGTTAGTGGGTCAATATGGGTGGATTGATACTCAACCTACACCCAACCCAACCCACACATTTGCTACCCCTAGTTGGCAGGGACAGGGATGGGAGTGTTTCCCTAACCCACCCCTTGCCATAGGGCTGTTGACGGGTCGGGCTAGGTCGGTTTATTGGCATTTTTCCAACTGACCCGACCTGGTTGGTTTACCTAGAAATGAAACCGAAACTGACCCAGTACTAAGTAAAACCGACCTGGTCAGTTTGAATCGGTTTGGGTCGATTTTGTGAATGATTCTCTCGGTGTGAACGGTAAAGGATTCAAGTCTAACAAAGCAAAGGTTGGATGCCTGAAAATTAAAAATGATTTGATGGATTAAAACTAATATTTTATATATCAGAAATTTTATATATAATATGTATATTTCTGAAATAAAGCTGATATATATATATATATATATATATATTTCCACAAATATATATCTGAAATATATATTAAAACTGAAATATATCAGATATATATATATATAATATCTGAAATATATTATATATATAATATATATCTTAGTCGGTTCGGTTTATATTTTTTTTAACCCGAAACCGACCGATATTGAAGAAAAACCGACCAATCCCGCCCAATCAAACACTTGAAATTGAAACCCAATCCGATTTCAATTCCAAATCCCTATTCCTGCAAAGCAAACAGAGCCTAAGTGCTTTATGAATGTTTATGAGAATAAGCACTTATTAACACTTATTTTTCAAATAATTACGCCCAAACTCCGCCTAAATGATAAAAGAATTTGGAAGGTCTATTAGAGGTTTTATACTTTAGCGAGGAATTTGATACTTGCTAGAGGATTACTAAGAATCCAAGTTCTGAAGGAGTATTAATTTCTTTTTTCACAACTTAGACAGAATATAACCACAAAATCAAGAAGACAATACAGAATATGATGGAGAAGTATGTACTTCTCCCTAGAAAATTAGGTCTTATCAAAGCTAGGTAAACATGTAATTCATTTTTTTTTTCTTATAGTTCTACATAACAGGGACCAAAATGCAAGTTTCTTATAGGATTAACATGCGTCAGCCTCCGGGTCATTTACTGGAACAAAATCCAAATCAGGGAAAAAAATTGATTTGAACTTTTATTCATCTCTGAGGCAGATTTTCCATCTTGGAAGTACTTTTTGTTTAGTTCGTGGTTTTGTAGTCGATAACTTCTGATCAAATTTGTGGTTATCCAAAACATGAACAGAATTTGAAGATTGGAGTTCAATAGTCTTTACACTGCCAACCAGCCATGCTAGCTAGCTAGTTCAGTTTGCTGTCTGTTGTATTTGAACTCAGTTGTTTGATAAAAGGCTCAGCTCAGGCCAGCTTTGTTAGAAATTATATTCTAGTTGCTACACGTCCTCTTGTAATTTAATTTCTTTTTGGGGGATCTTCTTGTTGCTCGATCTATTAATCTCGCTACCTGCACTCCTTTGGAAAGTGAAGCTTGGGCCCTTTTGGAAGCTTTGAAATTAGCATCTGATTTGAATATGGATCATATTATTTTTGAGAGAAATGTGTAAATTATCATTAATTCTGTATTGGGTACATTACCTCACCCCCCGGTGAATCAACATGATCTTAGCCGACTGCAGAGAAACCCTTTTACCAAATTCTCCCAATACTAAGTGAAGTTTAGTATGAAGTGTTGCGACAAGGAATTAGCAAGACATGCACCTTCAATTTCTGGTCCTTGTTCCAGGTAGGAGTGTCCTTTTCTCCGACAAGTGGTTGATTCTGACTCTACTCACCGAGTATTTTGAATGAAAATTTTCCTTTTGGCGTAAAAAAAAAATTAATTTCTTTTTATTTATGACGATCGATATTAATGTTTGAACCAGGTTTTGTTTTTGAATAATGGAGCTTGTGTGATTGTAAATTTTGAGCTTAAAATTGTACCTGACAATGTCCATGGGCTTAAGAAAGCTGAGCTAGGTAGGGAACCCAACCCAAAGCCTTAAGAAAACTTTGAATCCAAAGCCAAAAACAATGTATGTATGCTTACACTAGGATCGAATAAATATTTGTACATGTACACATCCGATGTGATACAAGACCTGCAGAGGCGAGGAACAATTAAGAAGAATTACACCATTAAATAATGAATAGCCCTACCTAGTTACCTTCTTTAAGTCGGCAGTGTGAGACCTCTCCTCCATTTTCAACATGTCAAGCAGGAAATCGTTCCAGGTGTCAATGGGCCCAGGCAAGCACCAATGCACACAATCGTTATACAAAGTAACATTCTCATGAGGCCAGTGCCCATATCGACTAGGGTGTCCATCTGGTCTCAATAACGAAGCTTGGGTTGTATCAAGCAACCTAAATTTCAACCCTCCTCTCTTTCCTCCTCTCTCGGCTGCAACCTTGAACTCCTCCACCTGGATCCTATACAGCTCTAAATCCGTCCCATCTAAACGCTTCTCCTTGCTCCTATACGGCCTTCTCCTCAAACAATTCCCTCCCTGGTTCCATAAACCATTCTCAAAGTGTGAAGGCGCAAATGTCCTGAGAATCGTCACTCCCTTGAAGCTTTCTAAGCTGTTGATGGCTCTCAAGGCAGTGTGAATGGCTTTTCTGTAACCGTAGGACATGGGGAGGTCTGTGACATTCTCTATGAGACAGTAGCGGCACCCCACCAGCTGACCCTTCTCATAATACATGCCTGGTCGGAAGAACCAGTGGCCGGCAGAGATGATGAGGTAATCGAAATCGTCAATCTGGGTGGTCCATTCTGGGTTGAACTCATCGAGGTAGAGATTGAAAAGGCCGGTTTTGGTGGGACCGTCGGCCTCGGTTTCCTCTGCTTTAACAAGAAAGGGGGTCCAGAAGCTGGCAATGGTGAAATTGTAGCTCATATATTTCCAGCGCTTGAAGTGTTCATCCGCTGTGTATGAAACATCCACGGGATATTCCACCTATACACATGTGACATGACATGAAAACAATAATTTGTTACTTGTTAGGGATGATGAGAGAAAACAAGTCATGCTCTGCAATCTGCAATGCTATGAGGCTGTGATCTCTCCTGTTTGGGCTTGGGCTCGACTTCAACTCAGTTTGGGCCTTATCAGAACAAAATTCAACCACCCATTTACTGATGGAGTTGAAAGTGGAAGCCCAAATGGCCCAGCTTATTAAATCCCAACAGGTCAGAACTCAGAGTTCTGTTCTGGCCCGATGCGTTTTGGCAATGAGCACCCCAGCTTGAGTAGTGTATGATACGGCAAACTACGTCCACAGGTTTACATATGTGTATAATTAATTAATTCCTTGTTTTCTCTCCATCAAAACGTTGATGTGTGATTTCTTTTTATTTTTATTATTGGAAGTTTCAAGTTAGCACGCCACACATTTAAATATACATAAAACTAAAAAAAAGGCATGAAATCAATCAACGTGAAAATGAGGCAATTGGGTGCCCTAGATCCGCATCTACCGGTCCATTGACCCCTAGAGTCTAGGCCCGACAATCTCCTTCAATTACTCCCCTATCTATAAATCCAGGATATGAAGGTGTGGGGTGGGGGAATCAAATGGCAACTGCAACACCTCTCTGTTCGGGTTTTTTTTTTTTTATTCCAGATTCCAGATGAATCGGGTCAAATATGAAATCCCACAACCATATGATGCTTGTGAGTGCATTAATATGCAGCATGCATATAGGCCCCTGTGAATGTCAATTGTCAGCCTCAAACGTGACCTCTCCTTGGTTTTTCTTTATTTTATTTTTATTTATTTTTCATAGTTAGGTAAACTATGCCCGTCTATAGCTAATTATCAATTAGTCTTGATGATTTAAGTTAAACCCAGTCAACTTCTAATCCTGGCACTCTCCATTCTTGATTTATATTTCACCTTGCGGTACAATACTGCACGTATGATAAGATTAGGGATATGGGGAGAAGTCATTTAGTTAATAATTGTGCCCACGTGTCCACATTAAGAGTGCTTATGTCTTTTGACATGGAGATGCTTTGGTAATGACAGCACCCGTACATATTACAAATTTACAATAGACTACACAAACACATGTAAGTGGGAATTGAGTTCATCCCTAACAAGAGGAGACTAGTACTAGGATTATCATGCATTAATTAATCTTAATCTCTTACATTAATACCCTTGATTTCTAGTTAATTTTGGGTAAATATCTGGATGTATGTACGTGCAATTATGTATATATGATCAATATACGTGGAGATAGCTAGCTTCAAGCTTCATCCAGATTAATTAATTCCAAGAGAATTGCTCTATATATATGGAGTTCTGCTTCCAATTTCCATGTTGAGACAAAGTGTAAACACTAGTGTGTACTCTATCATTCCTCACAGTACTTCCAACTAAGACGCAACATTCCAACTGACAGGGTTATTTTGGTCATTACAATTGCATTAAGCTATTTGTTTAATGTAATATCTTATACATATCCATCTTATTGACTTAATATCCTAGTTGTTATGATGTAAGAGTTGCTATTAATTATCAATGCCACAAGTTGTCTTTGTTTATTAGTTTTTCAGTACATGGGGAATGGATATCTCATATCCTCTTACAGGGCACACAGATCAGTTTATTAATCTATATCAAGTGATCAACAGCTTCCTTATTAGTTGTTTTTATATTTTAACAGAGTGGCCATTCTGACAACTTGGTTGCAGTAGTGCTCATGGACCAACAAGGAACTATCCATTGATCGATTCAATGATCAAAAGAAACCAAACAAGGCTTTAACTTCAAAACCAGTTCTCAACCAAAACCCACAGATCTGTTAATGGCAATATCTTTGCAAAATGCTAGATAAAAATTTTGAAACAGATTTAATTAGCTTTGAGTTCGAGATTAGTTCCAGTCAAGCACATCACATGCATGCAAGCACACAGACAACTACTCTTGAAGAGTTGTGAATTTTGAGGAAATAAAACAACTAACATTTATTGTTTCAATAAATTAACTTAGAACAAATGCATTAATGAAAGCTAAAGAGAAATCACAATATATCTTATATGTAAAGCACAGGTGATGGAAGGTTTACCCTGGATAAGAGGCATATCAAAGACTGCATCTGGTTTCTGGCCACAGAATCTCCGACGAAAGCCAAGGACTTGCCGGTGACAAGTTGAAGGAACTTAGCCGGGTTGAAGATGGGTAGCTCACAGTCGTTTGGTTTCCACCTCCATTTCATGAACTCAGTATCAGGCCTTCCATACTTCATGCAATTCTGGTGTTCGTGGATCGCCCAACAACTCAGATTGGTGTAATAAGGCGCCTCCGGGTTCGGAACCCATTCTCCTGTAAAAATGTCACACTGTGTGGTTGATGCTGCGCCTTTTGTATTCTTTACAGTGTTGAAGGAGGAAGAAGACGGTGATGACTGAGAAGAATTGTTCCATAAGAATGAAGGGAAATAGCCAAGGAACGGATAATAAAGAGGTGCGATGGTTACAAGAATCAGGGCTGTGATTGCTACAAGAACTCTTTTTTGTGTCTTTTGAACAAGTGTTTGGCTTTTCTCAAGGAGATGATTCAGCCAGAATTGAAGCTTCATTGAAAAGGAATAATGGACGAAAGGTTGAATAGAATTAATGCAAATATGGGTGTTTGAATTGCAAATGATGCAAAGAAGTATAAAAGAGAAAAAGAAAAGGGAAGAAAGAAAAGACACCTCAACCAATCTCTCGAATTTCCATTAAGCGTTAAAGGGACTTCCGACTTACCAAAAGGAGAAACTGTGTGTGCTTGCTTTGTTTTGGCGATGAGTGCATAGCTTTCTGCCTTTCTTTCTCTGTTCTTATGTTATGTGGGTGGAAGGTTCGTTGTTTTTTTCTTAGTATTTTCCTTTTTTCTTTTAGGTGGGGTTAAGTGGTGATGAAATTCAGTTATACCAACTCTCTAGAATGGCAACATGTGGAGTTAGGCGGGTTGTCGATTTCCGAAATCCATTTGAGACCTAGAAATTCAACTAATTGGCCTGCGCGCTTTAACTTGGACCCAACTAATGCACCTCATTCTCGGGTTTGGGTTTTCTGGGGTTTAAGTCAGGTTTAGCTATTGGGAAACCCGTCAACCCGACTCGGCTTGAATCCAATAACAATGACCTTACCACATTTTTTTATATGTTGTAGATGGTCCTTGGATTGTTTTGTAAGGTAAAATAGTGGTGGCTTTTAGTTCAAAAAATGGCGAAACGGGGTGGCAGAGTTGGTCAGTGTTTCGAGGAATGCAAATCGTAAGGCTCACAGCCCTCTCCTCGTAAACACAAAATGACAAAGCGAAACATTTGCGTTTTGATAAATAAACAAGTTATAGAAGATGATCACCAACCAATTCAACTCTTTTAGTGTTCGTCAGTTGGTGTTAAAAAGAATATATATAAATATATAGATAGATGGCCACCCATGTGGCTAGCTAGGTAGTAGCTAGCACCCCTAAAGAAGGTTTAAGTTTACTAATAAATTCTGGTTATTCTACTCGAATTAATTAAATACTGTGGCAACTATTAATTAAAATAGAAGAGTGGTCTGTGTTAGTGTGTCCTATCCTTCAATTCTTACGAGCAAAAGGCAAAAGAAAGGGAACAAGCTAGCCACTTTTTGAGTTTTTTCTCTATTAAAAGGTAGAGTACTTAATGGTATAAGAGTTCAATCACTTGAGAAAGGATGAATTAGGTTTGGATATGTCTGAGCAACCTAGGAATCTTTCCCAAGAAAAATGAGCAATTAGGAATCTTTCACATGGCAACATAAGTGGGGTTATTAGGGTTTCATGTGTGCTTCTCCCTGACCCTAACCTTTATTATTGCCCCAAATTCCAGCTTTTGCAGAAAAAAATAAAAAATAAAAGCCATTTTTAAGCTTATTGTTTAAGTTTTTCGGTTGATGTCATTTAAGTTGAAAATTTTCACTTCCTAGGTTGGGTATAGTGCTGCCCTTTGATAGATCCGGAGCTAGAGAACTATAGCCAGTTAAGAGGGCACTACTGCCTACTGAATCTAATGGATGACCTGTACAGACTGACAAAACGATTCCTCTAAGAGATTTTTTTTTTCTTATTTTTAAAAAAGGATGACTAGTTGATCCAATTGGACCACATTTCTTTTCCTTCATGCTCCAGGTCAACAAGTTTATTAATTAATGTGCAGTCTCTTCGATCGTAGCTAATTGGTTGAAATACAATTCATTATTAGAGAGTTGCACCTTCACAGTGAGTGAAACAAAAGGAAGAGGGAGAAAGGAAGGGAAAAGGTGGACCAAATGATCTCAATTATCAACAACTGTTTAAGTGAGATTTGAAAACCAGGGCCAGGAGTCGAATAAATTCAGGGTCCGTTTGATTCTCAGTCAGAATTGGAATCGAATTTTTTTTTCAAAATGGTCTATTTTCATGGTCTGTTTGGTTCGGGCAGAAATTGGAATCAGAATTAAAATCGGTTGGGGTCCATTTGGTTCGCAGTCGGACTCGGAATGATTCATTTACATAGTCTGTTTGGATCAGACAGGAATGAAAATGGAAATGTAAATTAGAATCAGCAGGAATAGGATTTCATTCCCAAGGGAGGGGCATTCCCTCAAATGGGGGAATAGCAGGAATGGAAATGGGATTCTGATTCCACCCAACCAAACAGTTGGAATCAGGATAGCTTATTCCGATTCCGATTCCAGACCACTGTTCCCATGAACCAAATGGGACCTTAGAATGGGATTTCATTTCGAGAGGGAATGTCATTTCATCATGAATGAGAATAGGTAGGGGTGAGCATTCGATTTATTTGATTAAAAACCAAACTGAATAAACCAAAAATTTAAAACTAAATTAGAAAAATGAAAACCGAAACTAAAGGGAAACTGAAATAAGTGGAACCAAAATTTTTAGTTTGGTTTTTGGTTAATTCGGTTAAAATCGAATTCCAAAAATATATACTATATTATATATTGTATATCATAACATATAATATATAAATATATATTATGAAATCAAATTTTATATATATATATATATATATATATATTAAATATAATATGTTATATATTCATGCTATATAGCGAAGTTTGGTTAATTCGGTTTTTTTAATTAATCGAATTTCTAATTCTAAAAACTGAAACCGAAACTGAAATATTTAAAAATTGAAAAAAAAACAAAGCAAATTAACCAAAAACCAAAATAACAGAACCAAAAAAAACCAAAATTTTTTGTTCGGTTTTTCAGTTTTAACCGTATAATGCTTAATGAAACAGTTGAAATTAAAATGGACCATTCTGATTCCAAACCCCTATTCCTGCAAACCAAATTCATCCTCAATAAAACTTCCTGTCCAACCTTGTGATTCAACATAACAAATGGCAATAGAGGCTAAGTCTTAAAATCGTGAAGTTGGTTCTTTTCTTATTTCCTGAAAATCATTGTAGATGCATTATTGTTCTATTTTAAATGAAGGTTTCATATTTAGATCCTGTTTGGTTCGTGGGAATAAGGGTTTAGAATCGGAATTCGAATGGACTATTCCGATTCTAACTGTTTGATTGGGTAGAATCAGAATCACATTCCCATTCTTGATGGAATGACATTCCTACATTTCAGAGAATAGCCATTCCATGCCCCTCCTTTGAGATTGAAATCTCGTTCCTACTGACTCCCATTCTTATATGAACTAAATAGATTATAGGAATGAACCATTCCAATTCTAACTGCATACCAAACGGACCTTAGAACTGTATGAAAAAAAGAGGTGGGTCTGAAATGCCAACACCTCTGTTTCTCCACTAAATAAAATTAACGAGTTATGAGTATGCCACTTTAATTAAATTATCAATTGATATCATAATCATGTCAGGTTGGTTGTGGTCAAGCTTTCATGATGGATGATGCTTAAATATGGCATACCCCACCATGACCATGTCATTAGTTAGGTGAGCCATGCTAATCAGCTGCCAATAAATAACCTCATGAATAAGGCCACTACGTCCTCAAGATTCATGGTTCATATCAGCAAAAAATAGTTAGAATGGACAACGGAAGCCTGTAATAGGATTGGATTTGGGTTGGATCCATGTACATCTACATCTAACAATCTGATTATCGTATTTTTTGGATCCGAATCCCATATGTCAGACTCTGATCAGATTTGGACTGAATTCGCATCCAATGCACCTTATTGTGCTGAAAATGACAGAAATTAAAAAAGAAAATAAAATAACCAATTAATTTTAATGTATATATAGGTCTGAATATGATATTGGAAAAGTTAATAACTAATTAACGGGTACATAAAAATGGTATGCAATCAGGTGGTATTCCTCAAAATTCACTCGACGAGATTGATTGGTCAAAGCTCTTCTAATATCATACCTTTTCGATATTAACTTAAATTTTAATCAGACCAAATGGGGTTAAATTTACATTTAAATATAAAACCTAAATTTACATTTTTTTTGAGTCCATTGACAACCCTAAAAGAAGAAAAGAGACTGAAGATGGATGTTGACAAGGGACCTGTAACAAGAGGAAAGGAACAATTTTGTTTTCATTGAACTGTGTACTTTTCCTTGCTGTTTGTTCTCTGAAATGGCATAGCTGGAGAAATGCGATTGAATGCTAACCAATCACAACATGACAAACACTTAATATAAAGATGGTTTGGACATCCACTCTGTAAGAAAGACACGACAAACAAAGCCCATCAAATGTGTATTCAATTGAGTGCATTGTTAAAGGATTTTTCTAATCAACACGCCATTTCCCCATAACACATTAACAGTATATATAGGTTGGTCTGCTAACGTTAATCTGATCATGCTCACCACATTATTGTATGGATTGGACATCCAGATTACAATGATATGGGGTTTGTTGGTCAGCTTAACAGGAAAATTGGATTATTTGGAGTGAGAAATGAAATCATCTGTGAATTGGCAGCAGCGAAAGGATTGATTTGTTTTCGCTTTTAATATGAGATGAAGTGAAAGGGAGTGATATCTGATAATATTTGATTTGATTTTTTTTTCATTCCTTTTATTGCCATGTCATATAAAATGAAATCTATTGGCTCCAAACATTTTTTTTCTTTGTATTTATTATTATTTTTTTAGGCAGGGGGGAGGGTTTAACTGTTCAGTTTTATGGGAATGAGAAAATTTAGGGTGCCGAAAAAATATGGCATTTGAAGAGTTTTGATTGATCACAACTCACATGTGAATTTTGATAAATATCACCCGATTGGTTACAAGTTTTTTTGGATATCGTATCTTTCTACAATCATAATCCCATCCTCTCGAAGTGTAGTCATGGCTAAGGTTATAAATTAATGGGCCGACTCGCAAACAAATTTGAGTTTGATGGGCTTGAATTTGCCTTCAACTTCCAAGCTGCCACCAGCCAAACCTTGCACCTGAGACCTATGTGCCATAATGGTTTAATTGATCAAATTCAAATTCAGATGGCGTCTATTCAAATATGATCCAATAATAATCTGTGAGATCTGTATTCGATCCATTTATGTGTTAGGATATCTAATTCAAATTCGATTTGATTAAAAAAATTTTAAATTATATAATAAATGAAATAGAAAAAATAAACAAGTTTATCTAACTTGACTTCCAATTTTTTTTTTCTAAGACTTGGCTTCTAGGTTAGGGTTACCAAATCTCAACCAGACTTATAAAATTCAAGAGGGGTAGGTTGAATGCATTATTTTAATTTCTAGGGTAAATTGCTAAAACCCCCCCTGACGTTTCTAACCATTCTTGAAACCTCTCCTGAAATTTGATAATTGCAATTACCTCCTCTAAACTTTTGATATAGTGGCAAATAGACCCCCTTTGTGAGAATCCTCTAATAAAATGTATGAAAATGTCCAAAATACCCATGCAATTATCAAAGCTAGTTTTTACCCAAAAAAGAGCAATACATACTTTATAAACAACAAAAAATGGAAAATTTAAAGTTGCATCTTCACCTTTGATTGATTGATATGAAGGGTTAGAAATAGTTGAATTTCAGAAATAAAGATTAGAAGGGCTTGGGCTAGTGATTCATATGAGAAATTTTTGGAAAATAAACATTTTGATCAAAAGTAACTGCATGGGTATTTTGAACATTTTCGTGCTTGTTTTTAGAGAATTCTAACAAAAGGGTCCACTTGCAATTATGTCAGAAAATTTAAGAGAAACGATTGCAATTATTAAACTTCAGGGGAGATTTCAGCAATTTACTGTAATTTCTGTTCTTAACTACGGGTGCAACTTGGAGGGGCTTGGGATAGGTTTTTGTCAAAATTTTAATGGACTTGGCCCAAAGGCCTGAGCCGAAAGCAGTCTAAAATGCTTACATGGGCAAACTTAAGTTGTACCCCTAGTTTTAATGCACCTATTATCACCATTGATTGCCACTGATGATTCCACTTTTAGGCAAGGATCTAGTTCTAGCCATAGCATTTAGTCAACATATAGCTTGGTCATGGTAGTTAGCCCCTTGTTGGGAATGCTTATTTTTAAACACTTATTTTAAGCTGGGACCGCGCCAATAAGCTGGGAAAGAAGCCGATAAGTGCTTATTCTAGAAAATAAGCCCGTTTGGAGAAGCCAAAATTTTTGGTTCATTTTCAAGTACTTTTTCAATAAGTGCTTATTGTGTTTCTGGCCCATCTTTGCCCATATTATAGTTTTTGCCTGACACTCATAAGCAATTATTAGGATAAGCACTTATTTATCCAATATGCACTCCCAAACTAGGGCTTAATGGTACACTACAAGCTTGAGCATGGATACACTATTTATCCTACAAGTACTTATTTATCCACTAAGTCCCCATTTGTAAGAAGCTCTTTTCCACCAAACACTCAAAATCACTTATCCTATGCACCTATTTATCCAATAAACACTCCCAAACGGGGCTTTATGATGAATGTGCAAGCACGAACAAGGATATACAATACTAGTTACTTGGCCCGGACCATGATCTAGAATCTTGGATTGGGACTTATCAAACACAACTAATTAAGGAAAGTCTAAGCCGAAAGAGGAGCCTGAAGCTCAAAATCCAAGCCCAATCCATTTAAAAGTTTTAGGTTGAGTCCACTGATTTTAAGCAGCCTAGGGAAGGCAATCTTTCTAAATCTCTCCTCGGGCCTCTCCTTGAATCACAAGAAATGCTCAGAATTTTGGTTTAAAGCATTTGGTCTGTCAGTTGGAAATCATAATTAAAGGATTTGATTCAAAATTCTTCTAACCATTGCTTTTACATGTTTACAATATCAGTCAGGGATTTTTCCTTCTTTTCAGTTTGGATGGGAGATTTGGTGATTAACACATTTCAAATGAACCTCTTTGTGCAACGCATTAGAGAAAAGACCAAAGAGCCAGAGCAAAAGCTAAGAATTGCAGTAAGTGCCAAACTGGAGCCCTTTCACAGTTGTGCAAACACACAAGCCAAACCTTGTATAATTTGATGGATTAATTGAATGCTTTTACATTTTTATAACCACCAGATTCTTCTGGATGAATTTATTTATTTTTCTTTTCCAAAATCTGAATAGAGAAACAGATAAGAATTGCCATTTTAATAAAATAAATACCCTTACCTAATTCTATTCTTTCTGTCAATCAAGTGCAGGCGCTCTTCAGACGATCTTCTGCCTTCCATCTTCAACATCTCAAGCAGGAAATCGTTCCATGTGTCAATGGGCCCAGGCAAGCACCAATGCACACAATCATTATACAAAGTGACATTCTCATGGGCCCAGTGCCCATAACGGCTTGGATGCCCATCTGGTCTCAGTAGCATAGCTTGAGTTGCATCAAGCAACCTAAACCTCAAACCTCTCTTCCTTCCTTCTCTCTCTGCATATTTGAATTCCTCAATTTGGGTCAAGTACAGCTCCAAAGTTATCCCCTCCAAACGGGTTTCATTGTTCATAAAGGGTCTAGTCCTCACACAGTCCCCTCCCTTGTTCCATTCACCATTCTCAAAGTGTGAAGGAGAGAAGGTCCTCAGAAACGTAATGCCCTTGAAGTTTTCTAAGCTGTTAATGACTCTAAATGCAGTCCGGAAGGCCTTTCTGTAGCTGTAGGACATGGTAAGGTCTGTGACATTCTCTTTGAAGCAGTAGTAGCACCCTACGAGCTGGCCGTTCTCATAGAACATGGTTGGCCGGAAGAACCAGTGACCGGCGGAGAAGATAACATAGTCGAATTCGTCGATCTGGCTGGCCCATTCATCGTTGAATTCATCGAGGTAGAGATTGTATAGGCCAGTGTAGAGGGGACTGTTGGGGTCAGCTTGCTTTGCCTTGACAAGATAGGGTGCCCAGAAAGATGCAATTGTGAAATTGTAGGAGACGTAGCGCCACCGTTTGAATTGTTGATCTGATGTCTTGGATACATCCACCGGATACTCCACCTGGAAATTCAAGACAGGAGATCGAACAGCTTTATTAATTTTAAGGGATGCAAACAGAATACAGTCATAATTCCTCCTGCAATTATTCACTTGTGTTGGGGTACCACATATATATATGACCCACAATTGAACATGGGTGGTGATGGGACTGTCTCAATCGTGTTAGCTACTTCAAATTGGACTGATTCAGAAATAAGTACAGTGATGTCTGAAAATGGAAGCTCCAACCTTGAATAGCCCATATATATATATATATAGCACGTCTCTTACACAAGAAGCACTAGTTAGGCTTATGGGTGTAAATGGATCAAACAGTAATATCTGAATTCAAATTCAATTAGAAAATTTAATATTAGATAAACATTAAAAATTAATATTCAGATTCAAATTTGATTAAATACCCAAGTATTCAATTCAGTTTGAATTTGACTGATTAATTATTTTAGGTAATATAAATTATTTATATAATTTAAATATTATATATAAATAAATTAACTAAAATATTTAAATATTTTATATTATATATATGAATTATATAATCAATTGAATTTCCATATTTATTAAATCAAATTAGATCATATCCAAATTCAATTAAATTATGTCAAAAATCTAAAATTTCAGATTTGGATTTTCAGATACCATTTGACACACCCTAGTTAGGCTATATCCGTAGATCTGAATTGGACTTGGTTTTGCTTCAGCTTGATAATGGAGGTCTAAATATCAATTATCAAAGCTGTCCAAGTCCAAATCAGGGAGCTGGAAAACTTTCTAGTTTACTAGTTCAGCCATCCAGTCCGACCGATTATGACAGCTGCAACAATCAGAATGAATGATTAAAGCTAAATACAATCAAAGACATAAAGCTGTTAGGTGACAAGGTAACATCACCAACTGTACTAATATTCCTTATCTCCCTTTCTTCCCCCCTTTGGATTACCACTAAAATAGTTCTGAATTATAAGATTCAGTCATGCGCATTCCACGTCTAACATTTCATGCCAATACTTCAACGGCTTGTTGAAGTCAAAGGTGTCTGATTCCAATCTGATGGTTCAGAACTGGGGATATATTATTTATAACCAAAATCTAGGGTATAAAGAACGGGATAAAATGACCAGGACCAAGTCTGGAGTCTGGGCCCAGGGGCCCCATAAAACGGCCTGATACCTTGACACTCCAAATTAATTTCTTATTTAGAAGATCAGGAGGAATCATTTTGTGGAGCTCCTAAGCCAAACTGTGATTACACAGAAATGATCTTTAAAGGTTTTTAAAATCAAATCGGATAACGAACCGTTCAAGGGTTTGGTTCCTGGGTCGAATGGTCCGATTATTCGAATTGAATGAATAGTTCGTTCTGACAAAAAAAATTAAAAATAAAAAAACGGTCAAAAACTTCTGGATGGTTGGAATGACGGTTCTGAGTCAGCAGTTTATCGACCCAACATTTTTGGCCAAAATGACGGTTCTGAGGTAAAATGGTGACCGGTTCTTGGTTTTTCCGGTTTAAATGTCCGCTTCTGAAAACCTTGATGTTCATTGTTTTCATTTGCACCTGGGAGAAATCTTGTTGTTTTCATAAACTTGCAGAACATTTCAAGAAAGACTACTTAAAGCTAAAAAGCATATATAGCTGGTAGTGGGAGGTATAGGCTTTTACCCTTGATAAGAGGCATATCAGGGACTGCATTTGGTTTCTCCCCACCGAGTCTCCAACGAAGGCCATGGACTTCCCTCTGACGATCTTAAGGAACTGAGCTGGGTTGAAGATGGGTAGCTCACAGTCATTTGGTTTCCACCTCCATTTCATGAACCCAGTATCAGGTTTCCCGTATTTCATGCAGTTCTGGTGATCATGAATGGCCCAGCAAGTGGAATTTGTGTAATACGGTGCTTCTGGGTTTGGAACCCATTCTCCATTAAAAATGTCGCAGTACTGCTTAACTGATGCTGCTGCTGCAACTCCTGTTGAATCCTGTATATCATCTTCATAACCAAACAAGGATACTGTAGATGATGACCAAGAAGAAGCTTTCCATGGAAAATAACCTAACAAAGGGTAATAAAGTGGGATGATGATCAGAAGAGTTAAGGTAAGGGCTGCTGTAACAACAATTTTTCCTGTGTGTTGATGAAGAATTCGGCTTTGGCTTTCCCAAAGGCCAAACTCTTCATGGCGGGCGTGAAGCTTCATTGCAAAATCTAGGTCTAGAAAGGATAATGAAGCTAAGGTTGAGCTGAGTACAACAACAATATTGCATAGAGTGTGATTGAGTTTGAGGCCTTATAATGATGCCAGTGGAACGCACAATAAAACTCAACTTGGCTTGCTTTATTTAAAAAGAAAGAAAAGACACCTCAACTAAATGCTTGAAGTTCCATGTAGTGTCGTGATGTGCTACATCTACAAGGAACAGACGTTATTAAGAATTGACTATCACACTGCATATAATTACATGGGCCTGGGGATGGATAATTGCTTTTTGTTTTTTTTGTTTTTGTTTTTCATTTTCTTCTCCCAGTTTGGACAGGTGGTTGCAAATAGGAATGGCAACGTGGCGGGTTCAGGGTAGGGATCATATTCTCAAGGGAGATAGCTTTTTCATCTGGGATCTAAATTCCTGAAATTTTTAAATTAAAATTATTTTTAGAAAATAAATTTACTTAAAATAAGGGAATTTTTTTAAATATAAAAATATTTTAAATATATTTATATAATATAAATAATATTATATATATAATTGGGGCCCAGGCAGGGTGGGGAATTCGCTCCCCATCTCCGTTCCCGTCCCTGATCAAGTATCACTATCAATCTTAGTCCCCACTAAGGCAATCTCTATCCCCAGCCCCATTGAGTCAGGAAAGCAGGGTATCCGATGGGGACAGAAAATTTGCATCCCTAGTTGCAAAAGTAGGTTTTGGAGGAATTTTGATTTTTTTTTCTTTGGTAGAAGTTTGATTGGTGTGGATTTTTTTTTTTTTTTTTGCGAAGGATAAGTTCTCCTCAGGTTCGGCCCAGATTGACCCAAAGTGCACCCAATCCCAAATCACAATTTTATACCCAAGAAGGAAGAAACTACTATCCTACCTTTGGCTCTACCATTCATTCTGATTTTCTCTTTTTTTCTTTAAGGTCATTCTTATTTTAATACAAACTAGGCGCTAGCTGCCCTGGCCGTTGTACCTGCAGACACTTGGGATTCCAAACAGGGCCCAATTATTTGAAAAGAAGTGGATCAGAAATATGAGAAGAATATTTAAAGTATACTGTTTGTAATTAGGTGCGAGTGATGTTTTTCACCAAATGCCAAACACAGCTATAGGCCTTGTTATAATCACAAAATATGGGTTTGTTGGTTGAAAAAGAAAAAAGCTTTAAAAGAATTCATCAACATATATGCATAATACCGATGTTAATTGATGTAGTTTTTGTTGGTTTGTGTTTATAGAGTAGAGAGTTTTGTGTAGTCAGACCCAAACAAGGTGCCAACTAGGCTAAATTAAGCTAGTAGGTACGATACCCTCAGCTTGGCTTTAGAGACCTCCGTTAGGCCATCACTCTCCTCCTTTAGAATGACTACTGACCTGCTTCCAAGAAAATATGGCAATTAAATTAAAAGGGAGTTGAATTCATTGCATGGGCTACCCACACGATTAATTATTAACAAATTGCATATATATATATCCATGCAGCAGCTGATAAGTTAGTATGTCATTGTTAATCTTAATCATCATGCCCACTTTGTTGTGTGGTGCATGTATGTGTCGGTTTGTTATTTAGTTAACAATTAATTACTTTGGAGAGATCAATGCATTCAACTAATTAATCTATGAATTCGCAACAATTAATGTCCAAAAACAAAATTAAAAGTAAAATACTAAAAAGAAACTCAACAACAACAAGAGGATAGATTCTTTATATATATATATAGATTCTTTATAATATAATTTTTTTTCTTCAGCAGTGATGTGTATGTGACACACATAGAGGTTTTACTTTATTTTTGTCCTTTGCTTTGGATTCTTGATATGAATTGCGTTGGTGTATTAGCTAGTTGCAAAGGCAGACCCGCCTACTGGTTTTCTGATATGTAAAGCACAGAGGGCTGAGTGAGGGGGGACAAGGTTGTGATGGAAATTCTCCCCGTCTCCGTTGGGTATCCGGCCTCCTCGACATCGACGTGATGGGCTCAGAGATGAAGACAGCCTTGGAGGGAATGGGAGCAGAGACGGTGATTGATAGTGATACCTGACCGAGGATGAGAATAGGGAGGGGGAGTGAATTCTTCACCTTGCCCCAACACTGATTATATCTATTAAATATATATTATATACTATATTTAATATATTCAGATATAATATTATTTATGTTATTTATATCAAAATATTTTTAAAATTAAAAAAAAATCTTATTTTAAGTAAATTTATTTTTTAATTAATTTTAGTTTAATAATTATGGAGATTTGGGTCCCCGATGGAGAGTCAATTTTATCCTTGGTGAGAATCGAGGTCAAGGGCAGGAATTTGTTTCAAAATCGAAGCCAGGAATGAGGAATATATGATCCCTGTTGCCATTCTTAAACCAAGGAGAGTCATAGTTCCCTCTATGCCTCAAAATCCCCACTTATGTTATGCCCCCCATCCATCTATATTCCTACCCTTCTCCCCATTTGATTTTGAAATCATAACGTGAATAAAAAATGAAATATGTTGTTGAATTGTGTATTTGTTCTGAGGAACGAAAAAATGAATTTATTTTAAATTAATTGATCAGGATTGTGAAACAATAAAGAGGTTGCTTGACAATGTGAATGGTTTTGATTTTTAAAACAAAACAGCCACATCAGCAAAAATGAATGGTTGTTAATTTGCTGACATGGCAGTTGTTTTTGTCTTAGAAAAGAAAGTCATTCACATTTTTGGAGTACACAATAGCAGAGAGACATCATATCTAAAACCTTTGGCCGTTGAGGGAAATGCTGTTGAAATAGTTTTTGGAAACAAAGATACGAACATGAATAGGTGAACATGCCCAGCCCAAAAACTCTAGCCAAAGTTTTTTTCCGTCATACCAATCAACTGATATCACAGTATTCATCTGACGTCATAGATATTGATATTGATATTGATTTATATGATAACCGATCATCAGATCAGATGTAAACATGTTTTTGAAACCTATATAGTGTTTTATCTTTTAAAGAAAAAAGTCTATATGATTGAGTTGAAAACCTACCTGTAAACATGTCAACATATTTCTTGAAATAGCTAGTTTTATAGCTATACCACCATAATTAGGAAACTTTCCTTGTATAAGATTGACTTTGGGAGAGTTTTGAAATGAATTAAGATTTCTATTATTGTGCATTCACTAATATTGGTTGCAGGATAAATCCGGATATCAATCATGGCGACCAAACTTTCATGTTTAAAATATATTTACCGTCATATTCAACCAATCACATCTTTTGTTGCACATTATACGGATGTATTATTTTTTTTTCATTGATGTTTTCGTTCTCACTGTTTTGCAAGAGATTTCTTTTCAAACCAGATGATTCTGATTTATTTTGAAACTCCAAACAAGAAAAACAATTCATATTTGGAGAACATACATCCCTAGTTTGTATGTTGATTCCTGAACCAACTTGCCTATATTTGGTTAGAACTGAACCACGTTTGAGTTCCATCAACACAAAACAACCTACCTATTTTACTCAGATTCCTAATGGATGAAGTAACGCCCTATCTCTCTCCACCAGGTTTAAGTCAGGGTTGGGTAGGTAGATTAGACGCTTTCCAGCCAGTTTGGACCACCTACTGCCACGCCACCACCCTTGGAATAATATCACTTTTAAGTAGGAATCTCATAATAAGGATTTGAGTGAATAGACGGATGCATGACTTGGATAGACTAAATTTGTGGTGTACATTGCTAGCACCAGCATTGGCTTGAGAACAATACCAGAGAAAAGATCTTAATATGGCATGGCCCATTACTACCCACCAGTAAATGGAGTCTGGTACCTTTGTTTTTTTTATTTTGGATCAAGGTTTCTTTCAATAACCCAGCCTGACCTCATTTGTCTTAGGGAATCAACCTTTTTTTGGGAAAATTTTACTTTATTACTCTGAACAAAGTTAGTATCCAAACTTTTAAATGTGTCACTACAGAATGTTTTTTAAAACCAATCCGGTGATCGAACAGGTTACCGGTTTGATCTGAACGATCGGCCCATTCTAACAAAAAAAAATTAAAAAAATTGAAAAACAGTCAAAACTGTTCGAACAGTTTGAATGGTTAACCAGTTGGTTCAGCGGTTTGCTGACCAAAATCAACAGTTTTGGGGAAAAATGGAACCGGTCAGGTGACCGGTTTCTGGTTTTTTTGGTCCAACCGTCCGGTCCGGTTTTGAAAACCATGCACTACAGTACTTCAACTTTTAAAAAGTGTCAAATTGGTCCATGCCGTTAACCGACCGTCAGTTATCTGCTGAAAATGTCAAAACTACACTTCAAAAGAAGACACTGTTCATTGTCTTGTACCTAGAGACTGAACTGGTTATCTTTAGAGAAAGAGAGAGAAAAAAACATGAAATATGATAGAGAGAAACAATAACAAAACCAAAAAAAATAATAATAATAACTAGACAATAATGTGTTTCAGATCTAAAGGTAGAAGACAATGACTTCATTAGTCTATACTCTCAAACACCTCAATCGGTTTAGTCTCAGGGTAGAAGACAATGAATATTATCTTATTTTGAAGGGTAATTTTAACATTTTCAACAGATAATTGACGGTCAGTTAACGGCAGGGACCAGCTTAACACTTTTTGAAAGTTTAGATACTACAGTGACACGTTTGAAAGTCCGGATACTAACTTTTCCCTTTTTTCAAATGATTCTTATGGAATGCATTTTCATTTTCTTTTCGTTTCTTTTTTTTTTCTTCTAATTCCATTCTTTCTCTTTCTATTTAATTTTGGGTTTGGTGCGGATTCAATTAAACCCAAACCTGATGATCGGGGTAGTGTGGATTTACCACTTAACACAATCCACTGACATCCCTGGGTGGGTGGCAAGGGGGCAGGGACTCAGCAACTCTTACTTTTGCCTTCTATTGTTTGGAAAGAGTCTTGATTTTGCTTCTTGCACTAAAAATGGGACAAAAAGAAACAAACCTATCCATGCAACTTTAATCCTTAAGGTTCATTTTAGAAGGGGCATAAATACAAATATGTAAAGTGTAAAATCTTATATTTTGTATATATTTATATTGTACATATTTGTATTTGTATTTTTTCCAAAT